TTAAGTGAACAGAGATCGTGCCACCGCTCTCCAGCCTGGCAACAGAGCAAGACTCCAACTCAAAAAAAGAAAAAAAAAAAAAAAGAGAAAGAAAGAAAGAAAAAGATGATTAAAAGCATTCCTGGCTTCTACCCACAAGCTGTCAGTAGCACACCTCCCTAATTCTGACAACTAAAAATGTCTCCAGATACTGCTAAATGTCTTTTGGAGGTTTGGGTGTGGGGGACGGAATCAAGAAACACACTGCTTTAGACTAAAGAGCTGTGGAATATAAGAGACAGTAAGAGGCAGGCCCTGGATCACCTGAAAGGTAGGATTGGCAGTCTAGCTCTCTTGATTGTTCCCATCTACAGACTATTAGGCTCTTCTCTTCCACTGGGTGGAGCAAGAGAGAAAGCTGTAGGCCACCTCTAACCAGGACTCCTTACACATCCTTCTCCAGGCTTAACTGCTGGGAGTGCTCCTTTAACACCTGCAGAGATGAGTAACAGCCCTGCTGTAATTGCCCTGATGGTGGTTTATCTACAGTATTTCAGTTATGACAAAAAAGAGCTACCCTAAAACTTTAGGGGGTTCACCCCAAAGCTTCAGTTAAGGAGCTTGGCATCTCAGAAGCTCCTTGCTCTCTGTAATGATAGAACTGTTTTTCTCCGCCTTAAAATATGTGACACAGAGCAGAGGAGGGGACTAATAACCATTAGAATCTCCCAGGAAATTTTTTAACTTCTATTTACATCATGTCCTAGAGGTTATATTTTTGCTGAAATTAGTATTTGAGCAAAGAAAGGAGAAAAAAATTAGGATGAGAGTCAGAACACTGGGTTAAATTAGAGCTGAGTTGCTAGAGTCCAGAAAGGGGACAGGATTCTTCCAACAGTTCTTTCTCAAGAAATAGGAAATTTCCAGAAATGTTGAAGCCATTGTTAAAAACAACAACAAAAAAAACTTTTTGTCTTTTTAAAAGAGGGAAAACATTTTTAAACACATAAAATGCATTAAACAATTATTAGACCTCTTTCTAGAGAATAGGAGCCACTGTGTCAGTTGAGAAACAAAAAGAAATATAACATACATAATTTATTTTGCCCACACAATTTTTGGCAAAATCAGTTTAAAATAGTATCAAACAAGAATTAATAATTTTGGCTGATTGGTAGCTGCAGTGAGCCATGCTTGTGTCACTACACTCCAGTCAGGTGACAGCAAAACAGGGGCGGGAGGGAGGAAGGAAGGAAGGAGAGAGGAAAGGAAAAGGACGGGAAGGGAAAAAAGACCCTGGCCAGGCACAGTGGCTCACACCTGTAATCCCACCACTTTGGGAGCCCAAGGTGGATGGATCACTTGGGCCCAGGAGTTTGAGACCAGGGGCAATACAGCGAGCCCGTCTCTCTATGTTTTTTTCGGTTGTTGTTGTTTTGTTTTGAGACAGAATCTCGCTGTCACCCAGGCTGGAGTGCAGTGATGCACCTGGTGATCTTGACTCACTGCAACCTCCGCCTCCCAGGTTCAAGTGATTCTTGTGCCTCAGCCTTCCAAGTAGCTGGGATTATAGGTGCCCACCAACACACCCAGATAATTTTTGTATTTTTAGTAAAGACAGGATTTCACCATGGTGGCCAGGCCAGTCCTGAACTCCTGACATTGCACTCCAGCCTGGGCAACAAGAGCGAAACACCATCTCAAAAAATAAAAATAAAAATAAAATAGGCCAGGCGCGGTGGCTCATGCCTGCAATCCCAGCCCTTTGGGAGGCTGAGGTGGGTGGATCACGAGGTCAAGAGATCGAGACCATCCTGGTCAACATGGAGAAATCCCATCTCTACTAAAAATACAAAAATTAGCCAGGCATGGTGGCACACGTCTATAGTCCCAGCTACTTGGGAGGCTGAGGCAGGTGAATCAATTGAACGCAGGACGTGGAGGCTGCAGTGGGCTGAGATCATGCCACTGCACTCTAGCCTGGCAACAGAGCAAGATGTCTCAAAAATAAATAAATAAATAAAATCAATAAATAGGAAAAAAATTAAGAATTTTAAAAAAACTATAAACTCCATTAAAAAGACTCTTAATTTATGTCAGTTTATAAAATTAGACAAAACCAGGCTGGGCGCTGTGGCTCATGCCTGTAATCCCAGCACTTTGGGAAGCTGAGGCATGTGGATCATGAGGTTAGGAGTTTGAGACCAGCCTGGCCAACATGGTGAAACACCGTCTCTACTAAAAACACAAAAGTTAGCTGGACATGGTGGTAATCCCAGTTACTAGAGAGGCTGAGGCAGAAGAGTGGCTTGAACCCAGGAGGCATAGGTTATAGTGAGCTGAGATTGTGCCACTGCACTCCAGCCTGGGTGACAGAGCAACACTCTGTCTCAAAAATAAATAAATTAATATTATGCAGCAATCAGAAATGATGAGTTTGTGTCGTTTGTAGGGACATGGATGAATCTGGAGAACGTCATCCTCAGCAAACTGACACAAGAACAGAAAATGAAACACCGCATATTCTCACTCATAGGCGGGTGATGAAAAATGAGAACACATGGACACAGAAAGGGGAGTACTAAACACTGGGGTCTATTGGGGGGAAAAGGGGAGGGCCGGGGGAGGTGGGGAGGGATAGCCTGAGGAGAAATGCCAAATGTGGGTGAAGGGGAGAAGGAAAGAAAAGCACACTGCCATGTGTGTTCCTACGCAACTGTCTTGCATGCTCTGCTCATGTACTCCAAAACCTAAAATCCAATAAAAAATTAAAAAAAAAAAAAAAAAAAAAGAAGCTGCCAAAAAAAAAATTAATTAATTAATTAATTAATTAAAGAAAAATTAGAGCCTTGCCACGGAAAAGGAGTATGGGATCTAACCTATATAATGGGCTATATACTAGGCACAGTGCTAAGTGCTTTCATGCAAATTCTTCCCTCTATCATCATCATCATTTTACACCAAGCTTCCAAGTTTGTGCAACCCGCAGCCTGCATATGGCTCAGAACAGCTTTGAATGCGGCCCAAAACAAATTGGGAAACTTTCTTAAAACATTATGAGATTTTTTTTTTTGCCTTTTTTTTTTTTTTTTCTTTTAGCTCATCAGCTACTGTTAGTGTATGTTGTATGGCCCAAGACAATTCTCCTTCCAATGTGGCCCAACAAAACCAAAAGACTGGACACCCCTGTTTTACACAATAGCAAGCTGCATCTCATGGAGTTTAAATAACTTTATTTTTTTAAATTTTTTACTTTTTTGGTTTTTTTCTTCAAATTTGAGACAGTCTCACTGTTGCCCAGGCTGCAGTGCAGTGATGCAATCTCAGCTCACCACAACCTGCGTCTCCCAGGTTCAAGCGATTCTAATGCCTCAGCCTCTAGAGTAGCTGGGATTACAGGTGTGTGCCACCACGCCCAGCTAATTTTTTTTTTTTTTTTAGTAGAGACGGGGTTTCATCATGTTGGCCAAGTTGGTCTCGAACTCCTGACCTCAGGTGATCCACCAGCTTTGGTTTCCCAAAGTGCTGGGATTATAGGCATGAGCCACCGCGCCCGGCCTAAATAACTCTTTCAATGTTAATGAATGATAAAGTCAGGATTTAATTCCATGTATATTTTAATTCCAAGATCCATGTTCTTTCCACTGACTCCATAATGCCATGAACTTAGTAAAATTAATCGACAACTCTACTCCCAAACCTTGCAAGTCTTAAAAGAACGCTGGGGGCTCCACCAATATGTAGGTAAAAAGTCATCAATATACCTACAAAACAACATACACAGATTCCTTTTTTCCTCCTTTGACAAAAGGCTGTTTTGGAGGTATGGGGGATTCTTGCTCTTCTACTAGACATTACGCTTCACGATCTGTTCAACCACATGAAATTATAAGATGATCTGCATAGTTTTAGAAATAATTTTGATGGCCGGGCGCGGTGGCTCACACCTGTAATCCCAGCACTTTGGGAGGCCGAGACGGGTGGATCACGAGGTCAAGAGATCGAGACCATCCTGGTCAACATGGTGAAACCCCGTCTCTACTAAAAATACAAAAAATTAGCTGGGCATGGTGGTGCGTGCCTGTAATCCCAGCTACTCAGGAGGCAGAGGCAGGAGAACTGCCTGAAACCAGGAGGCGGAGGTTGCGGTGAGCCGAGATTGCGCCATTGCACTCTAGCCTGGGTAACAAGAGCGAAACTCCGTCTCAAAAAAAAAAAAAAGAAAGAATTTTGAATGACAGGATGTCCCTATGGTTGAAATGACATTATACTTGCACTTTTCAATACAGAGTTGACCGAAATAATTTTTTTTTTCCAACTTTCTCACTTGGGGTCATGGTGGTAGGAAGGGTATTAAAATTGCTAAACTCAAGGGGAAAAAACTGTTTTTCTTTGAAATTTACTTCCAGGACGTCAGGTATCTATTGCACTTGAAATACGATTCATCTGGAAAACGTTAACTTCCTCGGTATGCAGGTTACCGGGGTTATTTTGCCGCGTCCCCTACACCAGTTATTTCTGGGGCTCCTTCGTGAAACAGGTGCCTGCCATAAATGAGACGGAGAAATTAGGACTGGCGGGTGGGGTCTGGAGTAGGACAGGAACCCGGCCACATCCGCGGTGAGCGGCGGCCGAGAGGCACCTGCCAGGTCCTGCAGGCTGGCGGGAGCTCCGGGAGCCAGAATGGGGCGCCTCCCTTCTACGCGCCCGCGAAGCAACGGCCCTGGACTGCGGCAGGGCGCAGGGCCCGCGCTCGCGGCGGCCCCGGGGGCGGAGGGCAGGGCAGACTGGAACCCAGGGATCGGTTCCGCAGCAAAAGATCCCGAGGCGGGATCCGGTTCTCTCCCTCGCCGCCGGTGGCCCCAGGGGCGGAGCCTCGCAAAGCGGAGGCCCGAGGGGCGGGGCTTAAGGCCGCGCGAGGAGGGCGCGGTCTCCGGAAATTGAGCTGGGGTTCAGATTTCGACTGGGGCGGCTTGTCTGGGAGACTGCGGGTGTAAACGCCCTCCAACCTGCCTCCCTACCTGTCGGCGGGAGAAGAGAGCGGTCCCTGGCTGCAGCACCCGGGAGCCGCAACGCTGGCACAGCACCGCCTTCCGGTTTCGGCCCTCGGCTGACACTAACTCGCTCAGCTGCTCTGCTGGTTCCATCGCCGCTGCCGCCACAGGCTCCTCAGCCACGGCCGCGCAGGCGCTGTATTTGCTGGCTCGATCCTCACTGCGCTGGCGCGGCTTGGCAGAGGCGGGGGCGGGAACGAACGGTCACTACTTCTGTGCGCAGGCGCCCGCTTCCCCTCGCTGGACTCTACTGCGCAGGCGCCTTCATTCATTGCCTAACATAAGTGGCTAGGTGTCGACCAGCTTTGTGACAGGGACACTTCTTGGGACCAGTGACACATCTCCATACCCATCTGGTCACTGTGCTTAATAGTAAGACCTAAAGAAATAAATCATTAGGTTGACATTACTGTTTAGTTTTCTGAGATCTGAATTTAGTCTCCTGAATGAATGGGGACTTTATTGGGGGCAATGTGAAGGGAATCTGGGTCGGACTTCCCATCAAATTTTAGCCACATTGGCTTCTTCTATAGGAAACTACTTAGAGGGGCAGGTATCTTTTTGGTACTGGAAAAAAGTTGAGTGGAAACTGTCATTGCTGGCCGCTTCTAATCATTGTGACCATTTACTACGCGGCAAAACGTGTCGAAGCGCCTTTAGAAACGTATTAAATCATCACACTTTCCTTATGGGGTCGGCACTCTTGTGCACAAAATGAGAAAGGTAAAGATCAGAAAGGTTGCAGCACAACTCTAAAGCCACTGCTCTTAACTAGGATTGTCAGGAAAGCAAGATTATTTCAGACAGAACAGTATTGTATATGAACAAGGGTGAGAGCAAATTTAGGAATGGTTACTAGACCGCTGTAGCTGACCCACAAACCTGGGGAGAAGTGATAATAGAGGTAGGTAAGATCAGGAAGGTACAGTGGGCCCAGAGCTCCATGGATCTAATGTCATGTTAAAGAATTTAACATTTATAATATGAACAATGGGAATCTGGCATTTTAGGCCAGAAATAACTGTTCAATATTTACTGTCTGCTGTAGGTTAAGTACTTCTGTGCTTCAGAAAGATAACCTATGACTAAATGGAGAGGCTAGATTGAAGAGAGGAATAAAGGTAAGGGTATTAAGTGGCTGTTACCTTAGGGTCTAGCTGAGAAAGGCCATGAACCTAGCAGAGGGAATGAAGATAGGGGAATGGACTTGGAACAATTAAAATTGCACAGAACTTAGAAACTAGCTGGAAGTCTGTATTGTGATGGGGGTGACACAAAGCAACTGCTGGTTTTCCTAGGTTAGATAACTAAGTAGCTTGTTGCCAGTGGTGGGAGCTTAAAAAAATTAACATGTTGGCCGAGTGCGGTGGCTCATACCTGTAATCCCAGCACTTTGGGAGGCCAAGGAGGGTGGATCATGAGGTCGAGAGATTGAGACCATCCAGGCCAACATAGTGAAACTCCATTTCTACTAAAAATACAAAAAATTAGCCAGGTGTGGCGATGCACACCTGTAGTCCTAGCTACTTGGGAGGCTGAGGCAGGAGAATCGCTTGTACCTGGGAGGCAGAGGTTGCAGTGAACCAAGATCACACCACTGCACTCCAGCCTAGCTACAGAACGAGACTCCGTCTCCAAAAAAAAAAATTTAAGATAACCCACCAAATTAGGGGTATCTCTGTGGATGTATGTGAGCACATGAAAGTGTGTATGATTGTGAAAAGAGTGAAAAAGGAGCTATTCAGTTTTATGTGTTGATTTTTCTGTAGAAGATTCAGTGGCTGCAGTGTATGAACTATTTGTGACATTGGTCTGAAACTAATTTGTCAGCACCAAAGACAGCATAAGAGCCATCAGTCCTTCAGCCTCTCCTGGATCTCTTTTTGAGATAGGAAGAGCCACATGTTTTATAGGCTGTGGTTTAATTAGCAGGCGCAATCCATCTGCCAAAGTTGGCAGGCATCTTTAGGGAAAATAACTTCCTCCTGTGGCTTCTCCTTCCTTCTGTTCTGGAAGCATCAGGATTGTTGCAGTTTTGCAGGCCTTCTGCATAGCTGTTAATATCACATGCCATCATTCAAAGCAAATGGAAAAAAGGCCTGGCATGACTGAAACCCTAAAATTGAAGTGGATGCTAAGTGAATTCAAGACATCTCTTCTTTACTCCTTTGGTTTTCAAGTAACTCCAAGCATGAGAGGGGCTAATGAATACGGCAAATCAGGTAAATATTTTACTGATGAGAATCTCCATAGTGTAAAGTGGCTGCCTCTTACCTGTGTCTAACAGAGAAATAGCAGAACTAGTTGGCAAACACACAAGATGAACAGGCTGACGACACAGGGGTCACAGCTGAACCCTAAGTATCTGCTAAAGGCAATGCTGGTTAACCACAAACTCTCAGCATTTGAGACTGTTAATTTTTAATATTTTCTTAAAAAAATACAAAGGAAATTAACTCTGTAGGTCAATACGATTCAGGGAAAAAGGGAAAAATGGAATTTCAGAGCAAAGGTTGTTTATCACATTCCCACACTCCCATAAAATTTCAATATCCATAAAACAAGAATTTCATTCCATGACATAGAGCAACATTAAATAATAGCTCAGAAATGTTGATAGCTGAGGTACTGAAACTGACAAAAGGATTTTGGTTGTCCTTGATTATTCTGTCCTGTGATGAATAAAATCTACACTAAAGGACAGACAAGGGAAACTTATAGCAGAAAAAAGACTAAATGTACCAAACACAGCAGTACAAACCACTCCTTGGCAGAAGTGTACTCCTAAAAGAATGGGCAGTAATCAGGTAGCTAAACTACTGGGCTACTGTCACTCCCAGCCCATCCCCAAATAAATAGTGTGGAAGTGTAACAGTGTAGTAGTATTTGATTCAACAAAGAAAGGCTTTCACCCCCATTCAAGGCAAACATTGCCATGGCTAGATGAGCCCTGGCAGGGAATAAGACCGTAGAATCACAGGTACTTCTAGTTTATCCCCAGTTATACTGAACTTGCACATTGATGCCATCTTCTCTCATCCCAACATTTGTTCACTGTTATGCTGCCTCCAGTGCTAAAATGTGTAACATTCTACTTCAGAAAGACCTTGGGGAAATAAAAAGATCCTTCAAATGATATACCCTTCTCAGTCTTCCAGATTATGTAATACTTCAGTGCTGTTCTAGGTTCACTCACAATCCATCAAATTCAGTTGATTCACTTATTCTAACTTAAATTCTGATATACCAACCATATCCCCCACAAGAAGTGTCCGATGAGTCTCTCTCCCTTGCCCCCAAAGTTTTATGGGGCTCTCCCTTCTGTTTCCTTCTAGAATGGAACTGTGTTGCCTCCAGCTACCTGTAGATTAGAAAAGGTATCTTTTCTTGGAAAAAAAAAAAAAAAGACTTGGATTTTACCAAGTTTACTTAAACTGGTACCTTTCCAATCATCTAGGCTGGATATTGCCCACATCTAGTAGGCTATACTCACCTTCGTTCTCTGCAACATATGAGGCACAACATACATATAGTACACTGAGCATGTGGTAAGTTAGAAACGAAAGGAAAGTGCTCCCCAAGGCAGTGGGAGAGGCGATCTGGTCTCTCACATCCATTCAATCTGCATTCTTTTCCCTGGAGTATCTGCTGGCCACCCTTCTCAGGAACAATAACCAGGACAAGGCGGAATATATGTCAAATAAGTACAATCATCACTGCACTGGTGCCTGTAATCACCCTGTTCATAGTGAGAAACAGACATTCTGGAAAGGATTCTTGATTCTCCCACTAACTGTCCACCAGACTGGTCACTAGTTCTGGATGGTGCTCCAACAATGGTCACTTCTCACGGAGAACACACACACCAGCATCACAGCGCTGGGTTCCCATGGATGTCACGACTTCCCAGCTGTCGATGATAGGGTCATAACATTCAATACTACTTAGCAGGGAATTACCATCATATCTGAGTGAGAAAGCAGCAAAAGAAAAAAATGAATCAGCTATGTGCAGTGGCACATGCCTTTAATCCCAACTATGAGGGAGGCTGAGGTAAGAGGACTGCTTAAGCCTAGGAGGGAATTTGAGACCAGCCTGGGCAAAATGGTAAGACCCTGTCTCAATTAAATTTAAAGAAAGAAATTAGCCTTCTATTCTTTTCCACACGAGTTCTTCCTTAAGGCTGCCACTGGAGGCCAGCATGGTGACTCACGCCTGTAATCCTAACACTTTGGGAGGCTGAGGTGGGAGGATTGCTTGAAATCAGCCTAGACAACATAAAAAACTAGCCTGGTACAGTGGCATGCACCCGTGGTCCCAGCTACTCTACTCAGACTCCAGCCTGGGTGACAGAGAAAGACTCTGTCTCTAAAAAAAAAAAAAAAATCTAATTTAAAAAAATCAAGTTGCTACTGGAGATGTCTACCCCTACCCAAATGTTGTCTCCATCCAAAAATAAGGATCAGATCACACAGACTGTTGCTCTGGTTACATACTGAGTCTGGAGTTGTTTAAATCCTCACCCTGCAATTGCATAAAGTCTCCCCCGAAGCACTGTGGCCCCTACATAGCATCGTGGAGTGGTCATACTGGTGACAGTTGTCCAGGAATCAGTGCGAATGTTGTATGCTTCAACGGAAGAAAGGTGGGCTGTACCATCAAATCCCCCCACCACATAAATATGGTCATTCAGCAGTGCTACTCCTGCACCTGGGGAAAATGAAGGCATTAGCAAATGAATGGTACTAAGCCTAGAATCTGAGTTATAGAAATAAACTATGGTCACTAATGGCTAGCTGAGTTCTAGAGTAGATAAGAGATATGGACTGGACCTAGACAAGGCTAGGATAATCTAGTCCAGCACAAGTTATTCCATCTATAAACCCTTTGGCTTGGATTTGAAATGATAAAAGATAAATAGAAATTTATCTTTTCTTCTTTACTCTCATTAACTCAGAGCCCCACCCTTCTCAGAAAAGGAGGAAGTGAAAGAAAGGCAGCAATAAAGGTAGATGGAGGGAAAGGAACTGTGATTATGGTTCTGAAGCGATTTTTACTCAGAATATGTAAACTAGAACAGCACAGTGTTTTCTCCTTTTCTACATCTCAGCCTACTCCACTTCAAAAAGCTCTCGTGAAGGTAAGGTGCTACTCTTTTGTTCTTATACATTAGAGACGTTATTTAACAAACATTTATTTAACATGTGCTACACAGACAAAATTGTAGCATTCTAAAACGTAGGGAGAGAACAAAGACATGAAGGCTTTTGCTTTCAAATTTATAATCTAGTTTTAAATATAAACTGTCTTTATCCTAATATTTAGAGAAAGCAGAGACGAGGAGCAGAATCTCATTTTTACATTCATCTACAGTTTGTCCCATGCATCACTACTATATATGTAAAGGTCTGACAGCACTGCCTATTGTCTCCTCCCTCAGATCTGATCTTACCGGAACGCTTGGTGGCCATTGGTGTAACAGTAGTCCAATGTCCTGTATGAGGGTCGTATTTCTCAACTGAATTTAAGATATTCAAGCCATCATATCCTCCTGGAAGACAGAGACCACTGCAGGATGAGTGGTAAATCCTCATGCCTATTCCTGGTCAGCCTTTTTCCGAGTGCTTCAACTAATTATTTTAGTTTTAACTTCCCACTAGAGTCCCAATAACTCTAACAGAAATCTGATAGTATCCTACTTTCTGCTTATAAGAAAATGATAATCCCAATTAATGGAAAATACATTGACACAACAGGGTTTTAGTTGAAGGGAAGTCTATGAACTTCATTCTGCTAAAAAGGAACCCTTACCCACAATCTACTACCCATTGAGTTCTCTCCCATTCCTGCATCGCAGACTCAGGATACCTAGACAGTAGATCACTCCGCTGGCCACTACGAGCCCGGCACCTTCCCGGGCTGTCTGCATATCTCCCAGCATACTCCACTGGTCAATATTTGGATCATAGCGCTCCATACTGGTGTGACGCCTGCTTCCATCAAAGCCTCCAGAGACGTAGATCATATCTGCTCAGAATAAACAAATTACAGACTATTAGAGAATGAGAGATTTCTAGAACTCTTTCCTCTACAAAATTTTCAAGTGTCTTTTAAAAGTCTGAAAGCAAAAACAAAGTATTTTTTAATGAGATAAGTCAATTAAGTTTTACAGACAAGAAAGACATCTAAAAAGAATGGGGTAAATTAAAATCCTCAGAAGCATTCAAAAACCACTTGGGAATTTTCAAAAAATACAACCAGTGCCAGTTCCCCACCCAGCACATTAGAACTTGATTTGCGAACTTTATAGTCAGTACTGAAACATCCATGAAGGTTGAACAGCTTCTATTACACTGATATGTCTGAAAGCAAAAAGAGTATTTGTCGGCTGGGCGCAGCGGCTCACACCTGTAATCTCAGCACCTTGGGAGGCCAAGGCGGGTGAGTCACTTGAGCTCAGGGGTTAGAGATTAGCCTGGGCAACAAGGCGAAACCCTGTCTCTACTAAAAATACATAAAAATAGCTGGGCATGATGGTGCACACCTGTAGTTCCAGCTATTCGGGAAGCTGAGGTGGGAGGATCGCTTGAGCTTGGGGAGGTTGAGGCTGTAGTGAGCCGTGGTCACGCCACTGCACTCCAGCCTGGGCAACAGAGAGAGACCCTGTCTCAAATAATAATAATATTTGACCTCATTTTTTTTCTCCATATTTCATGCTCCTGCCAGAAAACATGAGAGGTTAAAAACCTGGTCCAGCCACAGTAAGATGGAAATATTGCCCTGCTTATCAAGCCTACCTCCCAGGGTGGTGGCTCCAGCAAGACCTCGTCGGACATTCATAGGGGCCACAGAATACCAGACCCCATCCTCATCTGCTGTGTAGTCTAGACATTCCACTGAACTAAGGCGGGAACGGCCATCATAGCCACCAATGACGTAGATCCGGTCATGTAGGGACACTGAGGCCACATAACGTCTCTTACGAGTGATGCTCTATGGATTTGGAGAGAAGAGGTACAGAGCATTTCAGTTAGGTAAGTTTCGGGCCTTTCCTTTTGCTATCTTCCCTGTTGTATCTACACACCTCTGTGCTGCTTCACCTGTCATCATGAACCCTCCTTGAGTGGTTCATCCTCAAGTGGCTCCACCCATGGCTGCCTACTGAAGGAAATGCTTGTTGTGGGTCTCTTAAAGATGTAAGCTTTCTGCACATCTGCCTCTTTCCAAGGTTTCCAAAAGATTTAACAGCTTTCTGTTATCCAGTATCTGACTCCTTTCTTTTCCATAAGGCACTGGGCTAAGAGACTGATATTCTTCCATACAGTGGAAAAGTGTTCCCACATTGCTAATCAAAGGGCCAGGATTTATTATAAAAACCTTAAAAGGTAGGAGGATTGGATTTCCATGTTTTCTCAGAAATTACTATTGTTCATTCAGCACTGAGAGACATGCTGAGGGAGACAGATACAAACTTTTTTTTTCTGAGTTGGGATCTCACTCTGTCACCCAGGTTGGAGTGCGTGGCACAGTCACAGCTCACTGCAACCTTGACTGCTGGGCTCAAGCAATCTTCTATCACAACCTCCCAAGCAGCTAGGACTACAGGCATGCACCACCTGGCTAATTTTTTTGTTTACTTTTTTGCAGAAACAGAGTTCCACCATACTGCCCAGGCTGGTCTTGAACTCCTGGCCTCAAGAGATCGTCCCATCTCAGCCTCCCAAAGTGCTGGGATTATAGGTGTGAGCTACCACGCTCTGTCCAAACTTCTGAGCTCAATTGAACACTGGGTTCAATTCAACACAATTTAACATTGGGTTTACTTTAACAAAACATGACCAATGAAATGTGCTGGGAATTATAAAGACAGCTTAGAAAAGCACCTAACTAGTGGTGGCCATCTGATTTAACCTGACACAGGGCCACTAACATTTCTAAGGTATAATCTTCTAATCTAAACAGTAAAAAAACTGTTTACTGAGTACCTACTATGTGCACAAGACTGCTGTAAGAAACAACCTGTTATTAGGCTTTTCTACTCTTACAGTTGGATTAGCTATGCTCTGGAGCCAGAGACTGAGGAATTTAAGCTCCCTCCCAACAAATGGTTTCACCATTATTTACCGGCAAAAAGCTCCACTCCTGAGTCTTGGGGTCATATTTCTCTACCACGTCGATAGGAGACTGCTGGCTTCCGAAACCCCCAACCACCAAAAGCACTTCATTGGCTCCTGAAGACAAGGTAGTGAAAAGATAGGTTAGTTCAGCATCCCTGGATAGATAACTAGTCACAGGGAAGTGTAAACAGAAAGAGTTCTAGGATGTCTTGTTTTATGTAGCTGAGGGATACAATCTGAAATAGGAGATAATCAAGAGGCTGTTGAATGGGGAGTTATTTCTCCTTGAGGCTGTAGCTCTTGAGTCTCTGAAACTTAAATTTCTGTACAACATTAAAACTCTAGAAGGCAAACTTCAACATGACACTGTACCATTTCAACCCAGTTAGATGACTGACTGACATAATATTTGAGGTCTTAAGTGCAGGTGAGAGGCTAAAGGCACTCTCTGCACTTCTCAGCCTGACAAACTCAAATTGGGAGGGTTTTTTTTTTTTTTAATTTTCTCTTGCTGCAGAATATTAGGTTTTTTGTTGTTGTAATGTAGTAAGAACTCTCCTAACCTTGTCACAAAAAAAATTGCATGTTGAAATTTAGGATCCAAGTGATGGACTTAAAATCTCTTTTTCTTTTTCTCAATTGAGAAAGAGTCTTGCTATGTTCAAGCTAATCTCAAATTCCTAGCCTCAAGTGATTCTTCTACCTCAGTTTCCCAAAGTGTTGGGATTACAGGAATGAGCCACTGTGCCTGGCCTAAAATCTCTTTTCCATGAACATTTACTTCTCCAATTTAGTCAACTATATGATCACATTGCCTGCCTATTCATCAAAACTACCAGGCAACAAATGACTAGAGATTTAAAGGAAAAGTCTTTTTCTCTATTTTCCCAAAGAAGCTATTCTGACAGCCTTTATATCCTATCCTTCCCTCTAAGGCCTTACTTTGACAAAATACTGCCTACATTGGCTCTTTTTCTTCTTCTTTTTTTTTAGAGAGAGAGTCTTACTATATTGCCCAGGCTGGCCTTAAACTCCTGGCCTCAAACAATATTCTATCCTCCCAAGTAGCTGGGATTACAGGTATGAGCCACAGCACCTAGCTTGGCTTTTTTCAAAGAGCAAAGTCTCTTTGAGAAAATTCCCTATGTGTGTGCTCCACTAGAACTCATGGAAAGAATAGGTAGCTGGAGCTTTGGAAAATTCAATCACTAGGAAGCATCTAGGAGACCAAAGTGATCTTATAAATCTTATAAGTAACCTGGACTTGAAAGAGCCAATGCAGTACCTTGAAGCTGACAGGAAGCACAGATAAACCCCCAATGAAGTAATGGATTTGACAACATCAATTACTGGGCTAGAGTCATTCTGTCAAAAACTAATATGTTACTGTGAGACGCTGTGTGCTTCCTTATGGTGAAGAATAGGAAGGACCACACTACCATGTAGTCAGTCTTTTTTCCAAAAAAATTGAGCCTCTTAGCAAGCCTCTAGTCCAACCACTAGTTTACAGGCAATTCATGGGAAAAGAACATGTAAAATGACACTACAAAGATGCAAGAGCAGAGTCCAGAATGTGGGAAATTCTACAAGTCAAAGAACTTCGTTTCTTCAAGAAATAAACTGGCTAGGAAAAACCAAAACAGGATAGAAACCTTTTGGGTTAAGACAGACTGAAAAAGACATGAAATCAACAGCAATGTGTGGACTTTGGATCCTAATTTGAACAACATTAAGTACTCAAAAACGAAAAATTATGGGGAAAAAAATTACACAAACAGGTACTTAAGAAAATAAGGAAATGTTGTGTGATTTTAAACAGTGATAATGGCATTCTAGATGTTTAAAAAATTTTTTCCTTGTCTTTTAGAGATATATGTGGAAGTATGACACATAGGGACAGAATTATATCCAGTCTGGAATTTGCTTCAAAATAGCCTGGGTGCAGTGGCTCATGCCTGTAATCCTGGGACTTTGAGAGTCTGAGGTTGATTTATCACTGGAGGTAAGGAGTTCAAGACCAGCCTGGCCAACAGGGCAAAATCCGTCTCTACTAAAAATATAAAAATTAGCTGCCTGGGCAATAAGGCGAGACTCTACCTCTAAATAAATAAACAAACAAACAAATAAAATAGGCCACATGTTGATAACTATTAAAATTGTGTGATGGGCATAAGGGATCATTATATTACTGTTTTTATGTTTGAGATTTTTCTTAATAAACCATATATACCTACATATAGACCATGTAGCTTTTCTAAGAAGGTTTTGTCTTATATAACTGCCAAATAAAGTGGACTCTCTCCAAAGTGAGCCAGCAAGTAGGTCTCAGGAGTCAGCGCCTTTGAAAATCAAAGCATGGCCGGGCACAGTGGCTCACAACTATAATCCCAGCACTTTGGGAAGCCAAAGCAGGTAGATCAAACTCCTGAGGTCAGGAGTTTGAGACTAGCCTGGCTAACACAGCGAAACTCTGTCTCTACTAAAAATACAAAAATTACCCAGGTGTGGTGGTGCGCACCTGCAGTCCCAACTACTCGGGAGGCTGAGGTAGGAGAATTGTTTGAATCCAGGAGGCAGAGGCTGCGGTGAGCCTACGTTGCACCACTGCACTCCAGACTGGGCAACAAAACAAGACTCCATCTCAAAAAAAAAAAAAAGATATCAAAGCCTATGAATGAAGAGTTCTTCATTGACCAAACTAATTTTATGTCTGCCTAAAATTACCTCAATCTGGGAGAAGTTAGGACCACAAGTTGTTTCTGCCTTGGGAGCACAATTCCCCTATTAGTCCCTTTTGTACCCCACCTCTTCTCTTCCTGACTTGAATAGAGAAGGTTAAGTGTGATCCTTCTATCCAGACATTTCCCTTGCAGAGGAATATGATGCCAGCAGATGACGTGAGTCTGAATAAAAATTCCCCGTCCTTTCCTCTGCCCTTTTAAGGCTGACCTAGTGCTTGAAGAGGCTAACACAGAAGGGTAAAGTAAGTCTCCATAAAACCCAGGGAAGAGACTGAAAATCTCCTCTTTGGATCCTGTCTGGAGTCACACTTGAATAAAATAAATAAATAAGAATTAAAAAAATAATAAATTAATAAATAAATTCCCACACCAACCAAGAGGTACTTCCTGTGCTATGCAAATTATAGTTTTCTACTGATTTTTCAGGTCTTACTTCTGTTGCTTTATATAACTCCCCACCCCATCCCCAGAACCAAAACCAAAAAATAAACAAAAAAAAAAAACTAAGGAGGCTGGGCACAGAGGCTCACAACTATAATCCTAGCACTCTGGGAGGCCAAAGTGGGCAGACTGCTTGTGCCCAGTTCAAGGACAGCTGGGCAACACAGTGAGACTGCCATCTCCACAAAACATTTAAAAAATTACCAGGTGTGGTAGCAAATGCCTATAGTCCCAGCTACTCCTGAGGCTGACATGGGAGGATCACTTAAGCCTAGGAAGTTAAGGCAGTAGTGAGCCAAGGTCGTGCCACTGCACTCCAGCCTAAGTTACAGAGTGAGAATTTGTCTCAAAAAATAAAGAAGGCCGGGCGTGGTGGCTCACACCTGTAATCACATTTTGGGAGGCTGAGGCATGGGTGGATCACTTGAGGTCAGGAGTCTGAGGCCGGCCTGCTTAACACAATGAAACCCATCTCTACTAAAAATGCAAAAATGAGCCAGGTGTGGTGGCATACACCTGTAGTCCCAGCCACTCGGTAGGGTGCGGCATGAGAATCACCTGAACCTGGGAGATGCAGGTTGCAGTGAGCAGAGATCACGCCACTGCACTCCAGCCTAGGTGTCTCAAAATACAAAACTTACCTGGGTGTGGTGCTCTGCACCACACTGTCACAAAAATATACAAATACAAATAGAAAAATTAGCCAGGTGTGGTAGCATACGTTTGTAGTCCCAGCTACTCCGGAGGCTGAGGGAGAGGTTGCAGTGAGCCGAGATCACGCCACTGTACTCCAGCTTGGGTGACAAAGCAAGATGGTCTCAAAATAAAATAAAATAAAAACCCCCGCTCTATCTTCATATGATTTCATTCAGGCACCTTTTGAAAGGTGGGAGAAAAGAAGTACAAAGGAAATAGATCATATTCAAAACCTAGACGACTGGCAACACTTCCTGTTGGCTGAAATTTTTCCACGTAAACATTCTGGTAACTCTATGTCTACAGCAGAACTTGGTAAGAGGTATTGGTGTGATTTGCAAAGAGGTTTGTTTTGGTTCATTTTAAATTATAGTGGTACTTTAATAATCACAAGATTTAACACATTAAAAAAAGATACCACTAATAAAAAAGAAAAATGGAATGCTCATCAAAGTTACAACAGACATAATGTTCAGCTGAGAATCACTTCAAGAGAGTAAAGCTCTAAATACTTGTTGGAATATGCTGTGCAACTTTCTTACTGTGTGGCTTACAGAGGCGGCCCTAGTTCTGTGTTGTCACGATTATAGTCAGAAGACCAGTTTCAGCACAATTGTGCTTCAGACTGAATTTTTTTTCGAGACAGGGTCTTGATCTGTCCCCCAGGCTGGAGGGCAGTGGCACAATCACAGCTCACTGCAGCCTCAACCTCATGGGCTCAAGCAATCCTCTTGCACAGCTAGGACTACAGGTGTCTACCGCTACGCCTGGCTCATTTCTGTATTTTTTTGTAGAGATAGATATTTCCCAGGCTGGTCTCAAACTCCTGGCCTCCCAAAGTGGTGGGACTGTAGGTGTGAGCCACTGCACTTGGCCCAGACTAATATTTTGAAGTTGTAGATCGTCTATTAAGGGGTTGAGGATGCCCCTCCTAGAATAAATTTAAAACCTGACTTCCTTCTAGAACTTCCAGTAGCCAATACATGTGTTCTTACATTCCTGAAAACAGCAAAAAGAAATTTAATAGGTGCTGGTATTCACATCTGATCTATCAGGTTTACTGTGTGCCTGACAAGACTTAATGCTCCTAGGTTTACATGGTATAGGCAGAACAAAATTTTTAACGTGTTCAA